CTTCGTTTGACTTAGTCTCCTGATTATGACCCCCTTCACCCCCTTCAACCAACATTTCATGATCTTTGGACCGAGACGGAGGTCCAAAACGAGTTGCAACAGGAATCGGTGGCTCTGGGATTGAATCAGGTCTTGGCTGCTTGCCAGTAAGTCGAACAGGATGCTCGGCATCTGAAGTCCTACCGACTGGCTGCACTTGTGCGGACGGCAAATCACGAATGCCTTTCAACTCCTGTTCCTTCAACCACTTGACGTACCGATCAATGCATACCTTGTGATGCACCTTGCCATGAAAGGAACCTTTGCTGTTGGCGCAAATGCCACAACCTTTAGTCTTACCAAACTTATTAATGAAGCTGGCAGGTACATTCTTAATCTGATCGAACTCAGTGCTCTTATGAACTATGGATGGCTCGGAACGACGTTCGGCACCGGTTGAAATGGACCTGCTCTTGGCTTGAGAAGGTTGTGCATCGCGAGATGGATCGGCCTCAAGATCAATCGGTTGCGCTTCTCCCCCATTTTCCCTTGACGGCTTTGGTGGTAGTGAAATCTCAACAAGAAATGAAGGAGCCAAGCTACAATCCCAACTTAAAGGTGTGAGGAACTTGATGGACTTTGAGATGAAAATTCATTCTTCGTCGTTGAGAACAGTAACACAGAGATGTCCCAATGAAGCAAACTCTGGCCTCAAATAACATGATTTCTCAAACCTGGAAACTGCTTTGTTTACCAAGCTATGAGGGATTTCTGCAAGAACCAACGATCCGAAAAGACTGGTTTGCATTTCGACGTCACGACCGATCAAAATTGTCTTTGGGGATCTCTTAGTGTCTTTGAAGCTCGAATGCAAGTTGTAGCACATACAAATGTATGCCAACACGGTGTTCAGACATGATCTACTATCGAGCTTGAGATCGACCCCAAACGACCTTAGATCTTGACGGAGTGCGGCAAAGCCGTCCTTGAGGATACGAATAGCTCCCTCGGCGTGTCCCACTGTCTGGTGGCTTTGTGGTGAGGCTTTGAAGAACACAATGTCACGTCCAAGATCAACTCCCTTAAACAAGGATGCGACACTCGCTTCGGCATCGGTAAGCACTTCCAGGGCATACCGGGACTCACCACCTCAGAAACCAAATTCATTCATCCAACTCTTGATCCATGTTCGAGTGTTGATGACATTGGGCAAAACTGGAACACATGCTTTCATACCTGTGTGAACATCGACCATGATCAAAAATTTCCACTGCTCCTTTGAATTTGGTGGGACATTCTTCAAGAAAAAGAAATCGGCACAGATCTCACTAGAGTTCTTATTACCCCGACGACGATGCTGGTGCGTCGACTTGGCTGACACACATGCGAGGCAATCTGGATGAAATGGAAAATGGCCTTGGCGGCGGTGCTCATCCAAGGACAGCTTGTCCCGATTCTTCTTTTTCAAGACTGATGGATGCTCTGTTTCAGCTTCGGCACTCACGGCTTCTACAGCTTTCGGCTGAGAACTTGACAGATCGGCATTGGGCAGACCTGATGGGACTGCATGAGACGGATCATGAGGTTCTGGATTTGGGAATGGGCCCAACTCCTGACTGCTCCGAAATGGATTGGGCTCATATTGGGATGGACCGACCGAACTGCTGGAACCAGTGTGCTGCTCGGCAGCTTCTGAGACACGGACAAAACGGTTCGGTTCCACAGCCGCGGGTTCGGCTGCTTGAGATGAAATCGGCTGATGACGCGGCATGAAAACAACTTCTGCTTCTTCTGACCTTGAGGGATCAGCGGCTTCACTATCACCTAAATCAACCTCTGCCTTTCTCTTGCTGGCCATCAAAAGAGGATGCTTCTTGGCTTTCGAATCAGATGCGGTTTCGGCAAACGAAACGTGTTTTCCAGCGGATGGTCGATTGCTCCAAGTTGTCTTCGGCAAATCGTAAGCCGTCGAGCTTCCACTGGCTTGATGATGTGAATCTTCTCGATCTCCATCTTTGTAATGGAGGATCCAAGGGACATTCATCCATGTCACAACATCCAATCGGAAGTCATCAAAAGAGACTACCATTTCAGAACCATTATTTGAAAGCTTCCATCCCCTACTCAACAAACTGCCAACACTGAGAACATTGTTGGGAACATCGGCCACAAATGCTAAAATGCGACACACCTTCCAACATGAAACCTTGGGATCCACAAGCGAAATCATATGGAACGATGTTGCGATACAAACCAACTTGCTGGGATGGATTGTTTCACCACTAGCCGACGAGAATCCGTCAGAGAAAGGTTCCAAAGTCCTTTCTTTGATAACCCTATAGTCAGAAATGAAACGGCTGCTCACAACAGAGGCACTGGCTCCTGAGTCGATCAACCACCATAGGTTGTCACTTGTCTTTGTGTCTGATGGACGACTAACTGGCATAAACAAAGGCATCAAAACTTGTCGATCAAGATTGATATCACTTAAACATATAGCCTCTTGGCTTTGATCTTGATGAACATCACAAAAATTTGAAGTTGGAAGGGAAACCAAATTGTCCGGATCCAAACACGTACGAGTCTGTTCACTCGCATGTTCCTTTGAGTTTTCAAGGCCCCAGTCCTCGAAACAATCGTTGCTCTGGTCGCAACTGAGGCTGGTTTCACGCTCAAAATCCAACATGGTCCGGTAACACGACGATGGCATGGTGCTGGAAGCGACAAAAGGCGTGAGCGGCACATTCAAAGGCGGGGTTGCGGCAGCTTTCGCAGCAGGCGACATTTCGCTTTCTGGCTGTCCCTCGGCCTCTGAGATGAACTCGGCAATCTTGCCTTTGCCCTTTCCTTTGCCCTTCTTGGGCGGCCCATCTTTTCCTTTCCCCTTTCCACCTTTCTTTGAGCCTTTTGGATCCTGATGAGATCCTTTGGAATCAGGAGCTGCTGCCAAAGCCTTACCTTCTTTGTCGGTCTTTGCTCGGCAGTTGGATTGAAAGTGCCCTTTTCTCCCACAACGAAAGCAGGTTGATTGCTTCTCCTTCTCGCTGCGAGCATCAGCCTTGTTTGGAGAGGTCGAATCTGAGCGATGCTTACCCTTTTCTTTGCCCTTTCCTTTACCTTTGCTTTTCTTGTCAAAGACACCTTGATTCAGGTACTGAGATGCTGTGCTGCCTCCTATTTCCATCCAGAGTCGCTGACTGCTCTCATGACGAAGTGCTGACTGTTTCAAATCGATGTAGGCATCAGATGCACCATGGATGGTCACAAACTCACGCACCTGCTGAGGAAGTGAGTGAAGGAACAACATGCTGAGGTCTGTATCCTGGATTTCAAGGCCACTTTTGGATATACCACTTGGAAGCATGTTCAACAATTTCTCATACCTGGACTCCTCAAACTCCATCTGTTTGACCAACTCTGTAACACTGCCGGACTTGAATACCCTTGATAACAGGTTGTTTCTAAAGTGCATGATCTCTTGCCTTGACCTGACCATGTACTCAATCGTGACCAATCTCAAGGCCTCAAACCCGTTCTTCTCGCCATAGGACTCGCTGTAGGCCATCAAAATGATGCGAGCCTTGGGCACGTCTCGAAAGACCTGGCGAAGGATATTCAAAAGGCGAAGGCCCCTTGATTTCTGTTCTTCTGTCAGCATGTGGGGTTCAATCGTCGTTTTCGAGGTGGCTGCAAATCTGACTTCTTGACTGAACTTTTCCGACACCAAGCCCAGCCAAGATGTCAGTGACTCCAGGAAATTCTCATATCCCAGAATCTCATCTGTCCTGGTCTTCCATGAAGACGTGTTGATCGTTGGCATCGATGGCAACCACTTGTCCGACCTTTGCAGTGCGTCAGGTTGAAAATTCTGCGATCCGCTTCCAGAAGACGAACTTGGCGCTTGAGTACCAGCTGGAGCGGCACCTGATGAGCCTAATGGGATGGAAGTTCCATCGGGCAAAACCAACTTTGCAACACCGGTGGATGCGGCTTGCTGACCTGAGGTGGTCTGCGCAGCAGCTTCGAATGGCGAAGACAAACCTCCGTTAGGCGTCGGCTTCGAAGGCATTGGTTTGCTGTCCAAATTGAATGGACTGTCACGAGGCTTTCGAGGTGTAATCGGCAGCTGTGTGGCTTGAGCACGCAAAGAATCCAAGTGAACCTGCTGAGTCTGGAACGCTGTTTGCGCTTGTTTCATAACCTCTTGTTGTTGTTGAACCATTCCAGCAAGTGTCACAATTTGGCTATTCATACCAACCAATGACTGTGTCATACTGTTCAACTGGCTTTCCAACCGAGACGAAACAGCTGGTGGCAATGTGCTAGGATGAGGAGCTTCTACCACTGCAGGCAAAGAACGAAGCCGTCTTCGGCCTCGAGGTGAACGATCTCTAAGGTCACCTCCATCGTTCACAGATTCGTCTCCCATGGCTCGAGCTCGTGTTCGGATGTGAGTGCTGTGGTTCCCCAAAAGGTTCTGGATCGAACTAATTATGAGCACCATGTGCTCCGCTACCATGCGGAATTTCTGAACCAGATTGGAACATGTGGGGAACCTAACATGAAGCATGAAAGGGAACATGGGACATGACCCGAACCCAAACACACATCGCACCTTTTCTCGCTGACTCATGTCATGCGTTCGAACGACGAATGGCTCGGCCCTTGAGCCAATGCAGGCATAGGATCGGTTGATCCGTGAACCATGGTTGGGAATCCATCCACAACGAAGGTTGACAATGGCCACATTGGCGACCTTCTGGATATCTAGAGCTTCAACTCATAGACTCCCAAAACTTGCATAGTAACCTTCACGGTCACAACTGGAAATGACTGGATCACGAGTGATTTCAACTTTCCACAAATAGCGGTGGCATCTATCTCTATAGCGATGGCCTCCAACCTACTAGTGATGGCCTCCAACCTCTTGCATTTATACAATCGATTGAGAATTTAATATCAAGCCAAAAGCAAACTACACAAATGCTCAATTAGTGCGGCGTAATGTGGTCAGATTGGAGGTGGGATTTGAATGATTTGAGAGCTTTGCGGCGCCCATTGGGACAGCAGGCGCTGGAACGACTGCAACTAGGTGACTATATAGGTTCTTTTGCACAACGCCACCACTGGCAGGAGCTAGGCTGCGCCAAGCTGCGTTGGGACCGGCACTGAGTGATCCCAACCGCGGCGTCACTAGTAGCGTCCGTGCTCCTAGTAGCGATGCCAGGAGCCCCTAATAGCATTCTTGTTCCTAGTAGCGATGCCCTTGTTCCTGAACGCCTCCACAGCGAGGTGAACAACATTCTGTGGTCCGATCCTATTGAGGATTTCCAAGAGAACACATCACGACACTGACAAGGGCGTTCAGAATCTGGCAGGATGATCGGGAAGAGAGGTCCCAAGAAGAATCAGGCAATTTGTTTCTCTTTGCAGGGCAAGTATTTTTTGTTTTGTTTGAAGAATTATCATTTGAGAACGCCAGGTCCAGTCTTCGGTGTGCATGAGTCACCTCGCAACACAACCGCCGTCCTCTTTGGATGGGCCCCAGTCCAAGTTATGCAGGTCTTTCATGGTCTTTCTGCTTTGCATTGTTTTGCATTAGGGGCCATTGCTTTTAGGCTGGAGGCCATCGCTAGTAGGTTGGAGGCCATCGCTCTTGGGTTGGAGGCTACTCGTGAACAGCTCCAAGGGGCTAAAAGGAGTGCCAAGAAGCCCTCAGGATGTGACCAAAACCTTTTGTGCGCGAAATGGCCTCGCCATGGTTGTTCGAAGCCATCAGTCAAAAAAGAATGGACATGGCTGGAACCTCAGCGAAAGAGATGAAGCAGGGGACATGTCGAGACTGCAATGCCCAACGCAACGTCAAACATAACATTACATAGCATTACCATGCTACCACCACTTGTGCTCTTAGGTCATGGCCTTTGCTGTTTTGTTTTTCCTTCTGCGTTTTTACAAGGTCGTAGGTTTGGAATGACAACCCCATCTGGCTACTTACTACTTATGAGAACGCTGGCATTGAGGCCACCCGACTTCTTACTGGAGTGCATTGAGATCCCTTGAAAAAGAACACTTTTTAAAAACAGGAAAACTTTCCTGCAGAAGATGTCAAAAACTTAACTTCAAGATTAGAAGGTCTGAATTTTTGGAACCTCCAGCAACAGCACTACTCTAACTCCACTCCTGCTCCTGCTGATGCTAATGCAGCAAGGATTACATTGGACTCCTTAAAATCAAATCCTTCTCACTTCAGTGGCGAGGCTTCGACTTGATGCATGATGAAACCCTGGTCCGAGTCTTCTCAGCGAGGGACTACGAGGCCAGTGACATACGTCACTAGAGCATACTTGAACACAGCTTGCTCCTTGAGCACCAAACGGAGGCCATCGCTAGTAGGTTGGAGGCCATAGCTAGTAGGTCGGAGGCCATTGCTATTAGGTGACCATGTTCAACCTTTGCAGTTTGATTCAGAGTTACTATGTAGTAGCGATTCATGTTCAAGCTGCTGGGCCTGGGTATGTGATGGCTTTGCCCGCTGCTCTTATGAGTTCATAAATGGGACAAGCTTGAGTTGTGGAGACTTGAGTAGGCATTGTTTCGAAAAGTCTTTGGAAATAGTCAGGGGCACTGCAATGATGGGGCGGTTCTCCTTGTCCGACCTGGTGAAGGCCGGGGCGAGAACATGTGGGCACCGGGCCAACCTGAGAGCGATAGCCTCCAACCTACTACCGCTAGCCTCCAACCTACTAGCGATGGCCTCCGACCTTCTAGCGATGGCCTC